ACTCATTTGCCTAATAATTCTGCACTCCCTGTATGCTCCTGTATTACACATAATCAATTAAACAAACCTCAACCACTTTTAAAGCTTAAATCTACAGAATAATCCAGATAAATCAGACTTTTACAGCGTTGACTTCTGCAGTCACCGATGATGATCAAGCTAAGAGAATTTGAAGTTAAAAACAGTCTGCTGATTATTTCAGTTGATCGTTTAACTGGTTTTAAAAACATCAGAAAACATCAGAAATGTCCAAAATGACGTTTCAGGTTATTAAAAATGGAAAGCAGTGACTCTCAGGTTTATTTCCTGTAAAGGCCAGCAGCTAAACATGGTGCTATCCTGTAATATCAGAATCAGTGATTTTGAACCCCCAACCCCGTGATTGGAGAGGTTCTTACTCGTGAGCACGGCAACTGTCTTCATGGGGCGGGACCAAGCCTGTCCCCGTCTGAGCAGCAGCCCCACCGTGTAGCAGAGGCCGTGGAAGGAGGCGTTGTACAGCAGAGGCTCGCTGGTGTTTACGAACTGGATCAGGATGGTTCGAGGTTCTCCAGAGATCTGCACCGCATACGCCGTGACGTTCTCCTGCAGGTCTGAGCTATCCAAAGTCGCCACAATCAAACCTTCGTCGTTTACGGTCGCCTGGAACGCCGTCATGCTCTGAATAAGAAAAATGTGAGCAAACAAAGAGGTTAAAGTTTATTTCAGCTTAGATGAAGCAGCTCCTTTCACTCTGACCCGCTGAGCTCTGGTGAGGCCCAAACGCACTGGATCCTGACCCTCAACAGGATTCCCAGAATAGGCCAATCAGAAGAAAGTGGGCTCTCGGATAGGGGTTATTAAAGAGACAGCTTTGTTTAGATAAAGAAGGATTATTATTAACTGTGAATAATGCAGAGCAGCTCTGGTGGAGTCCAGGAAGAAACATGGAACAGAACATGATTTATTTCTGAAAGTTAAGAAATCAAAAGTGAAAACAGCTCAAAAGCTGCACAGCCTCTCACACTTGCCAACAGCCAGCCGTCAGTTTTACCCCCTGCAGTCTCAGTGTCCATGAATATGATTTCCCATCATGCTTTGGCCCCAGAGCTCTAAGAATCAGGCCAAAGAGAAAGAGAAGACACAACACTGAGGATGCAGAGAGGGCTCCCATTGGCTGGTGATCAATTAATGACCAATAATAAACACGTTTGACTGGGTGAAGAGGAGCCTCAGACTGAGCATCGGAGTTCCCGTAATCTCGGCCTGTTTTATTCTATTCTCTTCTTTCTGAGCGCAAAGATGATTTGTGTTCTTGTCTCTCCTGTCCTGAGCTGAGCAGGCTGGTCTGCCTTCGTTAAATCTGACATCAGGAGGTCGACTCCCCGCCAAGCACCATCCGTGTGCATAAAGGTCACGCTGCTGATTGAATCACATGATCACAGCACCACACATTTCATTCAGTTACAACCCACTATTTGATACTGGTCACTGATTGGTTCCTGGTCTGAAACAGGAGATGTCAGCTGATTCCACCTTAAAGGAGGTTTTTTTTTTTCCTGATGATAAAACCATACAGAAGTGTCAAACTAATTCTTGGATTCGTGTGCTTTGGTTCTGTGTATTTATTGTGCCGTCAGTTTCCATGTATCTTATCTAAGAGCGGCTGCGCTCCGGCTGAGGTCGGATCGGTCGGTTAGAGCCTGTGTTTCCTGTTTGTGGATCAGCAGCAGCTCAGTGACACGATTGCCTACAGCAGCTTCATGAAAGCACTGCGACCTGCTGTGACTGCGGAGCAGCAGATTATCCATCCGCACAGAACCTGACCCACATTTCAAACAGTCACGAACGTGTGCTGCACCGAGGCATGATGGAATCTACCCTGACACCGTGAGGACGTTAAATATTCAGCGACAAACAGAGAAAGCGAAGCGGGTTAAATGTTAGTAAATGTAAAGTGTAGCAGGAGCTGACCTACATCCAGGAAGGAAACATTTCTGAACCTTTCAGCTGAGAACAACCATTATCCCAACTCCTCCATGCAGGACACAGGCTCTGGTTTTACTGTCTTTTTAGCGCTGTGCTTAATAAGAATACAGTGTAACCTCAATCTAGACTTTACAGACATTTGGATCGCTGTAAAAAAAACCAAAACCCTCAGGTTGAAAACATCAATTGAATTCTATTTAAAGAACACAAAAACACACTGTGTAAATACAGTATATATGATCTAAAAATGATAAAACTGTTATCATTCAGTGTTTCACACAAATTCTCTCAAAAAGCCATTAAAGAGATGAGGGAAATGTTCTGTATGATGTATGCAGAATCAAATAAAACTATCAGTTTTATCAAAGAGCCATCTTTGTAATTGCTGTGCCTGATATAAAACTTTTGTATTTTCCTTCAACTGCTGTTAAAACTCTCTGTGAACGACCTCCGCCTACGAAGCTTCACCTCCTCTGACAGCACGCCTCCACATTAGACTGTAGAAGATAAATCTCTCTCTCTCTCTATAGAAAGGAGGCAAATAAAAGCTCAGCCTACTCTGGTTTGGCCTTTTAAAATGCCAGGCCGGCACTCTGGCTTAATGACTGCTGTGGTACGGTATTTGGACAGAGCAGGTCCATAAAGATGGGAAGGGAGGTGGGGGAGGAGGTGCTGAGGTCTATTTGTGGAGTTAGATAAAGAAAAAGGAAGAACATAGGTTTGTTTGTGGAAAGGAAACTGACTGTGTGGTGCACCTCATGGCTCGATCCTGGGTCCTCCTCTTTTCTGTACTTACATCAACAGTACATCTAACTGAGCTTTTTCCTGTATGCAGGTGATACTCAACTGTACCTCTTTACTTTCCTGAAGCTGGAAGTCAGGGTATTTGGAGGATGTTAGATGTTGGATCAAAATGAAATTGTTCTTCTGTCTGTCTAGGTTTTCTGTCATTAAGGTCACGATAATCTAAGGAGCTTGGAAAGCAAGCAGGTGGCAGGTGGACTTCTTTAAATTTCTTGAAGGCATTTCACCTCTTATTCAAGAGGTTTCTTCAGTTCTTAAAATGTGGAAAGTCTTAGCTATCTACAACCTTGTGGAGGTTGCCCTTATTTTGAAAAACAAAACATTTTTTTTTAGAATTAATTCATGATTATGTCATTTTGTTTTGATTTGATTCATATGTGGAGCATGGCTCTCATTGTTTAGAGCTTAATCAATAACCTGATGGAGGCGGTAGATGAGCTGATCCTAATGGGAACACGAACCTCCAGAACATATTTAATCACAATCCACAAGCCGCTTTCTACTTTCTAAATTAAAGGGTACCTATTCTTTATTTTCTTATTATCTGTCGTGGATATATTGTTTCACTGTAGTACACCTCATAACCTCTGGGTGCTGCCCCTCTGCATGCCTGTGAAGTTACTCAATCAGAAGATAGTGTGCTTTCAGGGAGAAGCTAAAACAGCTTGTTTCAGAGGACCAATTAAGGGGCTGCACCAATATCCAGTTCAAATTCCAAGAGTAAAAATAAGTTTCAAAATGAGCTGAATGTATATGTCAGCTTCACACAATCAAGTTTTGAAAACTTATTTTAGATGGCAAAAATTGATACTCAGATATTAATCAATACTTAAATTACAATCTGATCAGACAGCTATTCTGAGTTGAAAGAACCCCTCCCATCACTAACACTAGGCACAGCTTCAGGAGGAAGTTCAGAGGTCAGTGGACAGACCGGTTTGTCTTTATGACCAAAGCAGAAAAGTCGACCAGAAGCTGCACAGAAACAACCTTAAAGTACCAGCCACATAGTTACTGTTGTTACTTCTGTTGTTGTTTGTATTGTTCCAGTCTTTATTTAAAAGAAAAACACTAAAGCCTCTAATTTTTCCTGTGGTACTGCAGTATTCCCATATATGCAATACTCTCTTGGGGATCAGTGATGAGTTAGAAATTCAAGTATCGTGACAACCCGAGCTGTCGCCACATTGCAACCATCGACATCAGCCTGAGTGAGAGTGGAAGAGAAAATCCACACTGACTCATTCAAGGCTCCACTGCTCTGCTGTCGCCATGGCAACAGTGATGAAAGGAGCACCACGTTTAGGGTGGGTGGCGGCGCAGCAGGATTACCACGGAGACGCTGCAGAGCGTGGGGGCTCAATGCTACTAATGTACCCCCAGCCCCCACATCGGGCCAGAATCACATGGCCCCAGCTGTTTCACTGATCAGCGAGTTTGGTCAATAAGAAGATCCTCTGAGAGCCTGAACATCAAAACCTGCAACACATTTCCTCAGGTTATCTTTAGTTTCACCCACTGTTCACTCATTAACTGTCCAAATAATCCTACAGCTCCAAGAGCTACACACTCAGCACCGCTTACACTTTTCCAAAGAGAAAGGTTTTCGGTTTCTCTGCAGATCACAGACTTTCTGAGGGTCAAGCACTGCCGTACATACTCAGACAGGAACAAAACAACATCAGTGGTCTGTCAGCACTGATCAATTTTCTTTCAATCAATGTCTGTAACGACACACTGTAAATAAAAGATGGAAGCAGTCACTGGTTTTTGGACTCATCTTAGAAAAAACTGTATGGGAACAACATACAGAGGCTGATGCCTGCTAATTGGTAACATCCAAATAAATTCCTAAAACTGGTGCTCAGACTTCCTGGATAGCCTGTTAGTACAGTAATCTCACAGCAGCCATATTATTGGTCTGATAAAGTAATTAAGAATGCTCCCAAAGGCTCCAACAGCACAAATATGGTCCAGAGGTCCAGTTAAGAGACTCAAATTTGTTGACATAAGGCAGGTTGCAGGTAGAGGCCACGCTTCTAATAATGCAAACTTTAAGCTCTAATGCAAGTTAATAAGGTGACTTACAATAATATTCTCCCCTTGTGCAGTTGTTTGTGTCTCTAACTTCTGATATAAACCCCAGATAAACTGTTAGTCTCCTTCTTCTCCTGTATATAGAACTGTGTCATCTGCGTATAGAGACGCTTTTCTTCTCATTCCTCTCTTTTACTTACTCTTATCTTTATTCCTTAACAAAAGTTTGGTACAGTTGTAATGAAGGGGGAAATTATCTATAGAGACCACAACACTTCTGTATCAGGCTGTAAACATGTTTATTTCTGCTGTAAAGTTTTTAACATTACAGTCTATGGAGACTGACTCACTGCTTTGGCCTCTGCTGGGCGCTGGAGGAACGGCAGGTTTTGGCTTCTATTAAACCAGGGGTGTCCAACTCCAGGCCTCAAAGGCCGGTGTCCAGCAGGTTTTAGATATCACCCTGGGTCAACACACCTGAATCAAATGATTAGTTCATTACCAGGCCTGTGGAGAACTTCAAGACATGTTGAGGAGGTAATTTAGTCATTTAAATCAGCTGTGTTGCATCAAAGACACATCTAAAGTCTGTAGGACACCAGCCCTTGAGGCCTGGAGTTGGACACCCCTGTATTAAACTGTGTTAATGATCAGGTCCTGATGAGTGTTTCTATTGTAAAACTTGTTCTGAACTTCTTACAACTGTAGGCTGATCATAAAAAAGATCAAAATTAAAGTAACACTAAAATTTCTAAATAATACAAATGAACTGAAAGAAGCAAACAGAGCGTAGAAACTAAAACTAAAAACACTGAATCCTCAGAGTTGTGTCAGGACACCAGCTCATCCTTTCATGAGGGGAAAGTGATTCTGAGTAAGTGAATGAATGTGACCCTGTGAATGGCTGCAGACGGACAGCCAACAGGGGGTGGAGCCAGGGGTCGGGAGGCTTCACCCTCAGGCAGCTGCCAGCATTATCATGCAAACCTGCAAAGCTGTGTGGAGGCAGGTGGGGAAGACGGGGGGGGGTGTGTTCTGGATGGGCTTTTTTCAGACTTTTATGGCTCACCTCAGACTTTTTTGGCTTGATTAGAGCAGAGTAAATCTTCCCTTTTTTGAATGTAGTCTGGTGAGGGTAAATTTCATAACTCTAAAAACAGCCTGAGCCTCACAACTTCTGCAGATTCCTCTTGACTCTATTTTTCCTGCGTGGAAAAGTTCAGCTTGGTGTTTTTTTCTGATGAAATCCAATCTGAGGCCTTTCCTTCATCATGTTTCTTGCCTCTCTCTTACAAGAGTGTTACACTAAAATCTCTACTTTTCTTTATGTAGCCTGGTGAGGCTCAGAGGTCTTTTCATGCGGTGCTTCCTTTCACCGGAATAACAAAAGATGGCTGACAGCTCTCTGCCTCATTCACAGAACAATGAGAACCTTTCCAACGAGCTCTCCAAAGCAGGTTCCCACAGAAGAAGCTGCTGCAACAACCAAACCGAATGAAGCGGAACGCAGAGGTACAAACATCGGGCATCAAACACCGGGAAGCGAGTTTACGGCTCTCAAGATCTGTAAAAAAACAGAAAGAGACTGAAAATGTTTTTCCCACACTTAAGAAGCTGGAACAGGGACTTGATTGGTTGATTATTTCAAGTACTATAACAAGCCTAATGGTTTAATGTGACCACAATAAGGTAAAATGTCCGACATTTAGGGCTGGGGCTCATTGCTGTAATCAAAAAATGGAGAAGAAACTTCTTATAAGTAAGTATCAACTCCAAAAGCTGCAGTTCCTCTAATGTCCATTAGGGAAGTTTGTCTTAACTCATGTGAAGACGCTCTGGTAAAGAACACGAGGAAGGAAACTAAAAGTTAACTTCTGGAATTAAATTCAACACGTTACTGTAAGTGATGTTTTTCTTGACCTTAAATGTGGACTGAGGGGTTCAGTGAACCTCATTTTCATCGCCTGTCACTAGAAAAGATCCAGAAGGATCTGCAGCTCCATATATATTTTAGATTCAACCAATCAGATGGCCCCATGTGAAACTGTGGACCAATCAATGACAATGCGTCCCTCCATGGAGGCTTTCTGTTCTCACCGTCTGGATTCTGAAATGAGACAGAGCTTCAGGGTGAAGTTGATCATTTTCAGTCCTTCATCAGATCCCAATGCATCATGGTGGTGGAGCTGGAGGTGGAGGAGCTTCTTTAGTGACCTTCCTAAACGTTTCATTAGAGTTCAGCAGGAAAAGTGGCGAATCACCTTCTCTTCATCAGCTCACCATAACCATCATCATGTGACTAACAACACGTAAAAGGTCCATCAGCTGATTACACAATCAAAGCCAACAGGAAGCCTATCTTATTTATAAGACCTTTCAAAATAAACGCTCCCATTAGTAGGGAGATAAAAACCCAAAGTCGAGCTGTGATAACTGTTATTCTGAAAGAGGGCTGAAGCAGGAAGAACCTTCCATGTTCTACAGAGAGGATGAGGAAGGATGAAGACTGGTCGTGTGTGGTGATTGGCTCTGGATCATTCTGGCACTTGCTCTTTATAAACCTTTGACCTAAAGAAGCCCGTCCAGCCTCTGTTCTGGGTGTCTGAGGTTGTACTCGTTGTTATTCCACTCGGCTGCAGCTGAATCGCATGGGCGACATGGCGGCTCAAAGAAGAAGCTCAGTGTTTGCTCTGCAGATCTAACTCTGATTAAATTCTAATCGGGCCTCTGTTAACCCTCCGCCGCTCTGATTATGCCCTCACATTATTGCCCTCTGTCACATACAGGGATAAACCCTCCAACGTAATCCAAGACGCACATTAAAGTCACGAATGTGTGAATATTCAGCGACCGTGTGGAGCGCCGACTTAAACAGATCTCTGAGTCACAGCCGGCGCCACATGGTTACTGTGGGCTTACAGTCCAGAAGTGAACCCAGAACCATGATGCAGATCTGAGGACGTGATGGCTCACGCATCACCCATAAATCTCACTGATGATGTCACAGCCACAATAATGAGAACAGCTGATTGACATTAAACAATTTCCTAAAAATACAAAAAACTGCTGTTATTATCTGACCTCTGAACTCCAAGCTCATCCAAACACTAATAGGACCCACAACACGCCCCCCTATTCCCACCTCTACACCCGCATGTACAAAAGTCATCCATCCATCCATCCATCCATTCTCTGCCGCTTATCCTTTTCAGGATCGCAGGGGCGCTGGAGCAACAACTCCACCTCATTGTTTTAAAAAACTCTGTGCTTTTCCGCGACATTTCAACGAGCCGAAAAGTAAATAAACGGCAGACAGAAATCAGGCAGGTCGAATCGTCTTGCTTGAACGCAATACGTGTTTCCTGTATTGCGTTTCAATGTGGATGAACAACTCTGTGAAAACAAATGAAAGCAATAGTGTGGACGCGGAGTGTTTTCAGATGTATACACCGTTTTCCATTTTATCCGGGCTAGTGTAGACGTAGCCTACAGTAACTGCATGTCTTTGGACTGTGGTAGGAAGCCAGAATACATAAGTAACAGCTAAACAGGAAGTTCTCTGAAGTTTTCAGGTGCCAAACTCAACATTTCATCAGGTCGCCTTCATTTTTGGTCAGCTTCATCTGAAGGACCTCTGAGACATAGGTTTCACTGGGGGGCGTGGCCACAGTAGTACAGTGAATTTCAATGTGCCACCTCATGGCTCTTAGCTAACTTAGCTGTTAAAGTTCCTGTTCAGACCTGAAATTACACCTGCACTGAGGAGATTCAGGCTTGTCTCATTCTACAACATGAACAGTGGATGGGTGCAGTGGAGAGATGAACAGTCTTTGTTCATCACGGGCCACATAAAACCTTCCCAAGGCCTTCAGCCCACTGCCACAGTTGATTGCACTGATTTTAAATATGTTGCCCACAATCCTAAGGAAGACGCTGAAATCACTGATATGTTGCAGCTGTTAGTAAAACATATTTAAAATCAGTGGTCTCTGAAATTTTAGAGACAAAGCAGGAGATTTGGATAAAAACAAATCTGGATTTGGATAAAACATTTATTCTTCAAAGTAAAAGTTCCTCACACGGTTACATTTGTTAAAATGTGCGTCATATAATGTCCAAATAAAAGTCCAAAACTTAAGATGCTGATGTCAGTGAAACAGGAAATGCTTCATAAATTCTTCTTCTTCATACTCTTTACATTCAGCGCCTCGAATCAGAGCAGCTGTCAGAAGACAGGAAATTGGAAGCTTGGAGCATCAGATAGCGCTCAGAGCAGGATATTAACGCCGCATGCGGATAGCTAGGATAACGAGGTGGAGGGGAACCCGTTACACTGTAAACCCACCACGTTACTTCACAACTATCTCGACACTGAACAGGAAATAAAAGTCTGCAGCTTCCAGATGATTTTACAGGGACAGGAAACAGAAACTCGCAGACAGGAAGTCGTCCAGCATCAGCGCAACACTCGCTGGTCCTTCACAACAGGCTGACTTTAACCGTGAAACCGACGGGTGCATGTCACAGGGCCATTATCATCTTGCCATCTTCACTGGCGCTGCATGACAAAAGTGACATCATCATCACTGGTCAGGCACCTCTCTGTTTTTGTAACCTCACTTGTGTTACTGTGCCCACAAAAACGACACACAGCAAGCACAAATGGACGAGTCTGTGTGATGATGTCAACAGCTGATGGACTACACCCACAGGGGGTGCTATAGTAACCTCTGGCTTCAGCAGAAACATCAGGAACATCTGGCTTCACACATGACCACTCAGTCACTTTACAAAGAACAGATTGAGCATGTGCAGGAGTGCAGTAATAAAGGCATTGCTCCTAATACCTGTAAGTGTAAAGTAGATTTACCCAGATGCACCAGCTAAGAGTGTGTGTGTGTGTGTGTGTGTGTGTGTGTGTGTGTGTGTG